CTAATGCTTTTAGCAAATGCAGCAAATAGGACATGTTCATATTTTATTTCTTTCATGCTCATTTTGGCATTCTGAATGAAATGACTCCTGTTTAAATAATGTTAAGTATTTTGCAGTTTGCTTTTGTGTTTTATAAGAGGATGCAAAAGTTAAAATTGTACTTTCAACTCAAAACCAGCAGAGGTCAGCAAACAACTCATTTAAAGACACCAACTCTCTCGATTTCCGTTGTCTAATCCTCTTAAACATCTACAAAATCGTAATATCACATAATTTAAAGAACGGTAAAGCAATACCTAATCGAGATAAAGCATAATTTTGTAGCCTATAATGTTCTGTAATAAAGGCAGCAGTCACTGGAAAGCAATAATTTGCTGTCATTTTTATATCATCTTTCAAGGTTGGGGATGGGAATAGATGAAGAAAACAGATAAAGCTAACATATTGTGAATACATTATGAGCATATAAGATTTCACTAACAGACCAAAAAAAAAACGTTTTCTGAAAGATTAAACGCTTATCATAATAAAACGCCTTCAAACCTGTACCTTTAGAGTGGAGGGTATTGACTTGACCTTGACTATGATTTCGACTACATACTCTATAAACTTTACATGAAAGTTCCAGACCAGAAGAAAAGAGTGGACAGAACCAAACTCAAGACTGTAAGTGGCTGAACCAGTAGGTCAAAGGTCACAGCTGGGATTTATGTGGTCATGTTTTAAAAGAGCAAAAGCTCTTAACACAAACTGTCCATTGCACATTGTCATATGTCCAGCTGGAAGGACAACCCTTTTGCTGATTGGTCTTGAGGTACAATAAGAACATGTTGGACAATGGAAAAGTGATCCTTGAGCATCCTTGTAAAAGTTTACAATTCGCACTCCTCTTAGTTCCATCATATACATTAAAAAAAGCACAAATTATCATTTCAAGTGACTAGATGGACTATTGAGTCCTCTGCAGTCTCAGAGGTTTATGTTCATTTTACAAAAGCCTCAGAAGACCACGTTAGCTACTTATATTGCTGTTTTGTGTTGACTTTCCATCTTCTTTCATTTTAAATGTACTTACTTAAATTTATGGTATAATTTATTACCTTTGGAGCATGATCACTGTCATTATATGGGGACAAAAATGTTCATTTTATATTCCAGAATAAGAAAATAACAGCATACAGGTTTAAAACAACATGAAGGTAAGTATGAATTCTCATTTTTGGGTGAACTATTCCTTTAAATCATTTGCTTTCCTGTTTCCAACACTTTAGTTCTTTTTTATACATTTGCAGCATTTAGACTTTGTGTTATATTGATTGCTAATCACACCTTTAGATCATGGAAAAGTCTTGCCACTGATGACTGTTTACCATCTGCTTTTCTCATTAGGTGTCACAGCTGTTTTACTGCATTAACCCCTTTTATCCATATCAAAGTAAAAACACTGGGAATATGTTGAGGTTTCGTTCTGCCTAATGAGTATCATTCAGTAAAAATATACAGTTTGGAGAAAGAATTTAATTATTTCATACAGACTGTCAACACCTCTCGTAGAGAAACATATGGTGTTATGCCAGTGCTCAGTCTTCATCCCGTGAATGTTATTCACATCTTCTTTGAGAAAGAGTTTATCCATATCAAAGTAAAAACACTGGGAATATGTTGTGGTTTCATTCTGCCTAATGAGTATCATTCAGTAAAAATATACAGTGTGGAGGAAGAATTGAATTATTTCATACAGACTGTCAACACCTCTTGTAGAGAAACATATGGTGTTATGGCAGTGCTCAATCTTCATCCTGTGAATGTTATTCACATTTTCTTTGATAAAGAGTGTCACGCCCTTGATAAAAACAGTTTAACAGATGGCCTCTGGTTATGTGATTCCTTCACAAAGTCTCGCAGGCATCACACAACAGATTGTGTTTAACTTTCTCAGAGCAGAACTTTGGCTGATTATCATTATGTTGATATAAGCAGCCCAGCAATGGACAGTCAGTGAAGAATAATTCTTGTTAATGCTCAGTAAGGTCAGTGTTTAATTAGAAAGCTGCTGATCAACATAAGCAGAGCCATAACTTGTTGATTTGGTAGCTTGCCATAATAATTCAACTAACAGCAGCGGGTATTGCATGAACTTAAACTTTGACGGCTGCAATTAATTTACTAGCCTATATTTAATAGGCTACTGTAGGTACATGATGGATATTCTCTTGTCATTACACCACATATTAAGAGATGAAAGGTACACAGAAGAGAAAAACAGCCATGTAGACTAGACAATATTACCATCTGCTTCTCTATTCAGACTGGAAGGAAGATGAATTCTGCAAATCACGGGACAATAAAATTAATTGTTATTGGGTGTTTCTTCATCTGTGGGCACTTCTAGCCCTGTGGACTTTTAGGAAACTCTTTTAAAAACGCTTTACTAACAACAAACAAAAGTCACAGACATTTGCACTACATCTAAAATGTTCTATTATATTTATTTTGTGGTGAAAATGACATTTTGAACATTTTTATAGGCCTTAAATGCTCCAGCCTTCCTTGTCTTGCGTCTAATTTCATATGTTGTAATGTATGTTTTTCATTGTAGGCTATTATAAAGCTTGGTTGAAAATAAATACGTAGCCTATTTAAATATACGTAATAAATAAATATCAAAAATATCACGTCTCATTTCATCTCAAGCATAGCCTGCTCTTCATTATACAAGTAGCCTACTCTTCACTTGTAAACAAGTAGCTACACTATTTTTTTTAAAGAACTTTATTCGTGCCAAAATTATTCGTAGTTGTGGAGGAAATGCCACAGTTAGGGACGTTGTTTACAAATTCACATTCATCATAGTCATATCAACACACTACAGTACACTTTTTATTAGTAGATTTAACTGAAAAGGTTAGGATTAAAATATGTAGGCAATGTGTGAAATATTAAGCGAAGACTGCAGAATGGGACAGTTAGCTCGAGATGCTCCAGCGGGAGGAGGTGTGTGTGGTCTGGACAGGAGCCCATGAAACACTCGCTGTTCGCCTCAAAAGCGCTGAAGACATATCAAATATTCTTTTCACCAGCTTTCATTTCGCGACATATCGTTCGGGATATTAATCTGGATTTTGTTATTGCTTTGGACACGCTCTTAGAGGCTTTCTAAAGAGCTTTAGAGACGGAAATGCGTCTAAACGTCTGTGTCGAGTATTTAATCGCTTTTATATTTATTATTTTAAACAAAACTGTCAGTGGTCAGAAAGGTAAGTCGATCGGTAAACATTCTGCTTTAGACTAAGCTATGGTTACGTAGATTTTTGGGCAACAGTTTTGGTTGCCTTATTTCTGAGAGCAATGAGAGTAATTTATTCGAATTAGAAAATTATATTTATTATTTAATAGGCTAAATCATGATTTTATATATATATATATATATATATATATATATTTATTAATTACCTTGTATGATCACACTTAAAGGTGCCCTCAGTACATTGTTTGCTAATTAAACAAGTTTTACTCAAAAATAAATCAGTGGTAATTTTGAGAAATATTAGTAAAATGATGTACATTCGCATGAGATGAAGACTGAAGACATTTCAGTCTTCTAAAAAAAATATGTTTTATTTTACATGGAGCGGGTCGCCTCCTCGCCTTGTTGACATCACATGACCTGCCATGTCATGCATGCAATACTTGCGTTTTCAGTGACCCAATTTTATTTTATTTCAGTTTACCCAGTTTTATTCACTCTGATGCATCTTACCAGATGCTTCCTGCGTAGTTTTAGTTTAGGCATATACAACATCTTCATAATTGGGTTCAGAGACTTTCTGGCTCCTCGTGTAGACTGATAAGCACTGGTAGCACAACGCATCCAAGTCTTACAGTAAATATATAGAGAAAAAAATACTTCGCTCTTTCAGATCCATCTTGGATGTTCAAGCAGCATGTTGTCTTTGCCGCTGAGCCTGGCTTGTCATCTGTGTCCTCTAATTCTATTGCCAAAAACAGATTGGTGATGATCTCAGTGTCTCATTGGGCTGCAATGGTAGCCATTACTGGGCTGAGGCCATTAAGAGCTTGAATTGCTCTCAAATTCATTGTTGGTTCCTGCTAAGGAGATGTTTCTGTCATTCGTTTTTCAAGTGACATGAGATGTTTGCTTTGAAATTGACACTAGTTTTGAGAAAGGAGTGTCTTTAATTTGCAGATGCCATTTGGTTTGATTTTTTTTTAATTTTTATGACATTCATGTAATTTAATCTAATTTTTCCAATAATAATTCATTTTTGTGACAAAAAGTGTGCAGAACTTATTTTACCTTCATTACCAATCAGTAAGTCAGTAAGATTTAAAAATCTAAAAAATGTTGTACTTTCTTTAAAACTTTTGAACTTTCTATTAATCAAATAATTATCAATCAACATAGATAATAATAAGACATGTTCCTTGAGCGCCAAATCCACAAATTAGAATTATTCGTGAAGGATCAATGAAAATTCAGCTATGCCATCACAGGAATAAATTACATCTTAAAATAAATTTTTTAAAAAGCAGTTATTTCAAATTTTCATAATATTTTCTAATATTTACAGTATTTTCAGTCAAATAAATGGTGAGCATAAGAGACTTCTTTCAAAAACATTTAAAAAAAAACTTAATTTTCCAACCCCAGACTTTTGAGTTGTTGTCTAAATAAGTTTTTAATGAAGATCAGATTTTTCTCATTAATTTATTTTAATGTCTCAGTGCTCTGGTATTGGCATTTTCTATTTTGTGTGTTTTTGAGCAACACTAAGTGTGTGATTGTGTGTATTTTTGTAGAGGAAATCCCTGAATGCAGTCGTGGGGGTTATACTGTTCTTCAGAGCCCGTACCGAAGCACCAGATTCAGTTCCCAGCAGCTGCTCCAGTCTGCGCTGCAGGAGCTCGTTTGTGATCATTCACTATCTCCCGGATGGTATCAGTTCCAGATCTTTGATAAGCCGGCCCGTATGCCCACCAAATGTGTGGAGGTACAGTACAGTGCATCTGTGTAATCGGTCCAGCCCAGCCTGCTGAACAATGTCTTCTTTATGTTACGACTTAATGACCCATGCTTCTATATGACGGTAACCCATACAGGTGAATCATTGTGGAACACAAGCCCCAGTGTGGCTCTCTCTGGCCGAAGGAGAGACTCTCCCTCACCCTCTAGAGGTGAAGCAGATGACAGCCTGCGCTACCTGGCAGTTCCTCGGAAGCGCTAGTAAAGACTGTTGTCTTTTTCGCCTGCCTGTCACCGTCCGCAATTGCGGGGACTTTTATGTGTACTTACTCCAACCAACGCAAGGATGCATGGGATATTGCGCTGAAGGCAAGTCAATGAACCTCAATGAGTGTCTGAAATTGTGAGATTCACTTTATTAGTATAATTATAATTTGGTTCTGTATCATGCATCCTAAAAGCTGTAAAATATCATCCAGAAATCATCATTTTTGAAAGTTTGGTAGTGTTTAAAGTGCCCCTATTATGCCATTTTTAAGGTTCCTAATATTGTTTTGGGAGTCTACAAGAGGATTACATGCATGCAAGGTAAAAAAATCTCAAAATGTGCATTTAATATCACCGCATTTTCCAGCGATTCTCAAACGATTCGTTCGAAGCAGTTCAAAGATTCAGTCTCTCTAAACCCCGCCTTTCCGTGAGCCTGCTCTGCTCTGATTGGTCAGATGGCCTAGTCTGTTGTGATTGGTCTACAGCGTACAGCGCGTTTCGGAAATGATAAGCCTATTTCAATAGTTCTGTTTTTTGAACGCTCTACAGAAAATATAAACATCTATTATTTATCATACTTACAGGTTGTGATTCAGTGGAGCAGCTGGTCCAAATAAACAGGATACTGATCCATCTTTCAACAGCAAGCGTTTTGTGAATCCCGCGTTGAACTCCCCAAGATTAAAGAAGCAGTCGTCAGTAGAATGACGTGTTTGTGGGCGGGGTCAAGTTGTTCGCGGCCGGCCAACGTAGAACATAGGCGCGTGCGCATTATGCAAATGTGTTACCCCGTGACGTGTAGCCATCACGGAAGTGGGATTCGAATTACTAACGACTCGTTTCAGCTGTCGAATCAGTCGATTCTTTATTTTGGGAGAAAATAACTTTATTTATCGTGCACTTTCAGCTTTACAACTTTGCAGATCGTTTACATTCACATACAGCTGCATTACATACTGCATGAAAGGCAACATTGGAAATGGCATAATAGGGGCACTTTAAAAAGCAATAGGGTTCAGAAAGATACTTCATGAAGTTTTATTATATTCTCAGAGATCTCCGACTCCAATCAAACCAGCTGTGACGGGAGACAAAGGAATAGTGATGGAACTTGCAGTGGTAATCAGTCCAGATCTCTCTAGCAATATGCATCTTCAAAACTAAACAATCTAAACAAACTAATTCAACACATTAATGTGGAATGACTCACGAAATGATTTTCCAGAGGTTGCTGTATCAATGCATGTTTACAAATACAGTAAAATGAACCGAACATATCTGAAAGGTTAGAGTTCTCTTTTCACACATGCATCAAAACAATTTAGAGTTGGCAATCATATGGAATGTTTCTGCCCCCGTCTTCTCCTGCCAATGAATCTAGCAGAAGTTAATGTATTTCTGATGTTGTTTTTGTGTTTCCACTTGGAGTGTCACAAGTAATCCCTCTCCTGATCTTAGGCACCCCAGTAGAGTCTCTCACCCACTTTTCCTTCTAGTGGACCCCTTCAAAACACTTACTTTAACTGTGCCCCTTTCATCAGGCTTCATAAAAATGGAACTGAAGCTTTCATTGATGATTAAGAGTTTGGCCTGAAATCTAGGTCTTGGGTCACTCGTTTGTTGTTTCAAAGCTGGAGTGGCACCAAACATTTTCTATTTCAGATAGAATGCCATTTAGCGTTTTGGGCTGATGTGAACAGCTACAGACATGCAGCAGGGTCACCAAATCTGACAAGGCAGTCTTAGAGGTTGCTGAAATCGTTTACCTCCTATTTCACACAGAATGGCTTTAAAGTTCTCCAGATTTACTCTTGTGATGTCTAAACTCCTTTGTTTCAGCAGAGTCACTACATCCAAAAAGGCACCATTAAACATTTCCAAAACCTGCTACCCTCCTCTGTTTCACACAAAATGGCTTTAATGTGCTCCAAATTCACTCTGGTGAAACTCTTTTGATTCGTAAAAGTTAGCATAGTCTGAAGTTAACAGTTAAAGATATGTCTCAAGGCAGCTTTAGAGGTAACCAAAATTAGTTACCATCCTCTATTTCACAGAATGGCTTTAATGTTCTCTAAATGTATAAATACATAGTGGTCGACCGATATATCACCAAGGCAGATATATCAGCCGATATTTGGCATTTTTCAAATATCGGAATCGGCCGATAAGTTTTTCTGTTTGCGCGCTTTTATATTATTAGTAATAGAAAGGCAAACATTATAATACTTTCTCGTTTGCCGTCAGCATTCAGCAAATACACATTTACATCATTTAAACAAATCTTTGAATGGCTAATGAAAATTTTATTTCACAAACCTTGCAAACTTAGTGGAATCCAGTTGTGGATCTGTGAACCACACCATCTTGTGAAGTGTGCATGTGTGTCCTGCATGATCGCGTGTTCTCTGCGTGACTTTCGGTCCTGCAAATTGAATGCTTTAAACATTAAATTCGTGATTTCAAATTATGCTGCGCTTTATGCATTTGCCCACTGTCATATTCATGTCATTTTCACTGTGTGCTGTATGTAAAATTAGTGTACCTTGGCTTTATTTGAAAAAATATGATTCCCAATGCACACAAACTTCCCAGAAGACGTCTTCCCAGATTAAATATTTATTTGTGAAAAATACTTTGTCATCTAAAGTGTAAGTATGTTTATTTTACAAATTAATTTTTTAATCCATTTTCAAATGATTTCAAATTTCTTAAATATTAATTAAAATAAATACATTTATATCGGCCATCGGCCACCCTGCTTTCCAAGATATCGGCATCGGCTGTCAAAAAAAACAATATCGGTTATACAAATGTATTTCTATAATTAAGATATTGATAGTATATATTACTTGTATTTGATTTTTGAAGTACAGTATTTGTCAATTCTCCCTCAGAACTACAGCCCCCCTCTTCTGCAATACCTCTGATAGTTGCTGAGCTCTCCGGCAGCAGTGTGTTCCTGAAGTGTACGTTTGCTGACAGTAGTGGGAACAGCTCTCTGGGATATGTGGTGACATGGTGGCGACTCTCGCCCGAGGGCACCAGAGAAGAGCTCAGGAAAGACACTACAATAGAGACCTTTGCTTTCATTGAGCTGGATGGAATTAACCTGCGACTGGGAGACAGGGTACCCACTTTGTATTCAGTATTCACATTTATTCAAATTCCTATTTATTAACCTTAACCTATATATTTTGTGTCTCAGATCCATTGCAGTTGCACTAGTTTTTTTCTGGAGTCTCCCGATATGCAAAGCCTTCCTGTGGAGAGTGAAGAGTTTTACGCAGGCATCCAAGTATGTCTCAGTTCTCGAGGATATGTTGCATAAAATATATGATTTCCACTAGACTTATTATATTTGTATGTATGTTTTCCAGATGAAACCACAAGCTGTCTCTATTTCAGAAGATGGGAGAGAGTATGAACTGACAGTGGAGAGCACAGTACCTTTACCATGTTCCTCACAGAGATGCACTTTGCTTTTGCATCTTACCTCTAGTAATCAAGGTGGTCAAAAATAATATTATAAAGAAAATAAATATATTTTTAGACCATCAGAATCCTTTTCTCATTACTGTATGTGCAAATATTACAATATTTATTTTTTCAAAATAGTATTTGTTTTAATTATTTTTAATATGTTCTAATTTTAATTAAAAACAATTTCAGTATGTTTTTGTCTGCTTTAATACAATAATGAGAAAAAAATATCTTTGGATTTTGGGACATAGGTTTTGCGAAATTCACATTTTTACTCAAATTTGTAATATTTTGTTCTAAATATTAAATCTTTAAAATATGTGTCAGAAATGTCCCTCAGTGCTTTGAAAATCTGCAAATAGTAAATATTATTTTTTTACATACTAAAATGTTAAAGATTTGGCTCCAGTGGCAGATGAGAAGGGCCTTGGCGTTGATTTAGTCCTGTCCTCCTGTGAGGTGGAGCTGTCTCAAACCCCATGTCATAAGGGAGTCTGCAGTCAGGCATCTGTGCACTACAGTGCAGTTACTGATATATGGAATGATGGAGACCGAAGCACAGAAATACACATCAAACCAATAATCAGCACCAACTTCCTGTGGAATGGCTACACGCCTCAAAGTGTGCAGGTGAGCCAACTTAGATTATATATGCAATAGTTAAGCATATGGTTTACGAATATAATGTATATACTTGTAAGCCAGGGTTATTATGGTTACCTAAAACTAAAATCTTAAAAAAAAAAATGAAATAAAAAAATATTTTCAAGATATTTATCATTTTTTGTTTAGTTTAACTTGAAGTATTAAAACTAAATAAACTAAAACAAATGAATCAAAATGATAGACGTATTAATAGAAAACTATCAATAATGACAAAAAGACAACAAAATTGTAAAATCTTTAACTAAAATATTATAATACACACACACACAGACATATATACAGTATGCATACACCGTGTGCATAATTATTAGGCACGTTGATATTCTGATGATATTTTTTTCCCAAGCACATTTTACCAATTCCAAACCACATCAATCTTAAAGGGGTCATATGATGCTGCTAAAAATAACATTATTTTGTGTATTTGGTGTAATGAAATGTGTTTATGCGGTTTAAGGTTTGATCAATTTGATGCATCCTTGCTAAATAATAATATTTATTTATTTTAGAAAATATGACTGGCCCCATACATTTTTACCAGTAGTGTATATACAATATCTATTGATAAATAAAAAAATATCTGTTAACCAAATATGGTGTTGATTTATTGTTAGTGCTGTCAAACGATTAATTGTGATTAATCGCATCCAAATTAAAAGTTTTTGTTTACATAATATATGTGTATATTTATTATGTATATATAAATACATACACATACAGTATATATTTTAAAAATATTTCCATGTATATATTTATATTCATACAATTGATATTATATATAAATATTTTAAATGTATAAACTTAACATATTTTTCTTAAATATATACATGCATGTGTGTGTATTTATATATACATAATAAATATACACAGTACACACACATATATTAAGTAAACAAAAACGTTTATTTTGGATGAGATTAATCAATTGACAGCACTATTTATTGTGCATCCCTCCTTAATATGGTTTATTATGCTTCCTAAACACCAGGTTGGCACCAAGTAGCAGCTTGTTTGACAAAATCCCCACCTATGAAACCAACTCCAGTCTTCCTGAGTACTGCCAATGTCAACAAGAGAAACACCAATCATCCAGCGGAGCATCACCTCAGTCCACCGTTTCCTCTAAGTGTTCTTCCTCTACCCGCATCCAATCTCCCTCCATCATCCCTACACTGGATGTAACAGCTGAGTACATGAAGTCTGCGCAACTTCATAGAGAGACGTCTATCCCTCCCCGCAGACCAACGCACTACCGTCCAGCACAGCGAAGCAGAACAAACACTCAGAGATCCCAAATTCAGAGACGTGTTATGAATCCCCAAAGATCCCAGAGTCAAAGACGTGTTATAAACCCACAGAGATCCCAAACTCAGAGACGTGTCCCAAGCCAAAACTCCAGATCATCTCCAAAACAACCAGACCTTGAGGAGTCCACGTATAATTTCCCAGAGGACCATTCTTCATCGAATTCACCTGAAGCACTGGTACCATCCTGGCCTACTGAGTCAGGCCTGACAGAATCCAAGGCTCGGCGGCTCTGCGAGGGAACCCTGAGGAACTCCACGGTGGGGTTGGGTTGTGGGCATCTCCTGGGTGAGATTTTGGAGCAGGCATTGGAAATGTGTGTATTAGACCAACAACTGAAGGATGATCAGACCTGGATAGGAGCCACCATGCCCCTCCTGGAGAATGAGTGTGAGAGGAGGGTGGTAGAGGATGTTGGCAGGAGGAAGGAAAACCAGGACATTCTGGCCTCCCTTAGGTGCCCGAGCATGTGTAGCGGGAACGGACAGTGCACAGAGTGGGGCTGCTCGTGCTTCCCTGGATTTGGCTCTTATGATTGTAGCCAGGTGTCTGGTGAGTCTCTGTATATGCGTAGTTGATATAATTGAAGTTATACTCCTTATAAAATTAATTTAAACAACATTTTTTTCATATATAATTATGTGCATGCAGCTTGCATATGCATATGAGCTCATATTAATTGAGAGGTGGCATGGAATATTATATATTTAATATATTAGTGTTTATAGTACTTTATAATTTATTATTATTTTGAATTTGGGTTTACTTTTTATTTAGTAAGTTTGTTATGTGCTTGTCTTTTTTTCATTATTTTTTAATGTTTCATTTAGCTTTAACTTAAGTTCAATTTGAGTAATTCTTTAGTGATTAATTTCGTACTTTTAGTACTTCAACTTTAACTTATTTTATTTTGGTTAGTTGCCAAGACAGAATTTCTAACTTTGTTTAGATATTTAAGTTTGTTTGTTTTTTTGTTTTTTTTTTATTTACGTTTATTTCAAAAAACGAAAATTCTTTTTAATAGTTTTAGTTGCAGTTTTAGTTAACAATAAAAACCCTGCACCACAAGATATTTAAAGTGAACTAGTGAACTAGTAAAGTCAAAAAGATTGACAAATGAAAAAGTTGAGACCAGTTACAGCACCTGAAAAATACAATTCTCTGTATGCATTATTCATGAAATCATGATTTGTAATTTTTTTTTTTTTAAAGTTAATGGATATGTTGTGCATCAGTTCCTCAATCTAACAAGTAAAACTGATCTCAAGAGGAGAACAAAAATGAAATGAAAATGAAATAAATAAATAAATAAATATAATAAAAATGGTTAGTTCTGCATGGCCTTGAATTGGATTTTACAAATTAGTTTTGCATATGAGTATGGGGAAATGTAAGTTGATGCCGATTATTTTGACCTGCATTTCATTTGTTTTAGCCTGTTTTTCAGTTAATCTGTTTTCCTGATGCAGATGAGACTCCAGAGATCACAGAATTGGAGAATGGAGGACTGTGTGATGCCCGTTATGGCGTCTGTTCCTCTGTTAGGGTTCTTGGTCAAGGCTTTAAAAAGTCCTACAAGCTCAAGTGCGAAGTGGTGAAGGAAAAGGTAACAAACTTCACAAGCATTAAACTCAAGCATCGCATTTGGCATAAATATAAATATTATTAGCTTGAATATATATTGTTCTGTCTACATAGATAGTAGACGGTGAATGGTCTTTGGATGATGCTCGATTGGTGCCTGCCTCCTTCCAGAGTTCTTCCTCATTAGAGTGCCAACTCCCTGTGGATGACCCACAATCCTCCGCCACTGCTCACCAACCAGTCTTACGCTGGCAAATCAAAGTGATTAAACTCTAAACTATTATTTAAAACTAAAGTGTATTCAGTATAACTTACAAACTGGTTGAAAATGACCTGTTTATTCATTTTCTAGGTGTCTAATGATGGACACAGCTTCAGCAATGCAAAGATTCTGACTCTTTTTGATGGCACATGTCAGATTTGTACGATCAGCACCTCGGTTATCTGCTCACTAAAGGTCTGTGCTATCCATTCTCATTCACTTCTGTTTTGGTTTTGGATGCAGCACTCTCTTCTGATTATATTGTCAGGTCCCAGTCCCATTAATCACAAATCACTGCAAAATAAAAAAATATCTTTCACAAAGTCCATATTAGAGATTTAGATGTCCAGAACAAGACCAGCGTGTTGATAAGACACTGTAGAAAGACTGTATCTGCTGTGTTTGTAGCTACATTTCTGAAACCATTAAACTACATTTCTCAGCAGGAAAAAAAAGTCTTCACCATGATGTTTGTAATTTGGTTAAATGGTGTTTCTTCACATTTTAATGATACAGTGACAAATTCAGTGCACATTTTTTAAGTGTTTACATGCACTGTTCATCATTTATGTGTACACAAGTCTCTTAAATACAGGAAACAATTTAGCATTCAGCCTTGCAATTATGTACAGCAAAATAATTTCAGGTCAAGATCAGCCAAACAAAGCTAGCATTGTTCACTTTTCTAAACCTGGGGCTTTCTCACACGCTATGGTTAAATCCAGGAAGAAATTTTAAGATGAGCATGCAATTGGTTTAAGCAACCACAAAAAAAAATCTAATGATAATGATATTTGTTGCACATTGTTTTGTCTGTGTAGTTTTCAAGTTTAATAGTTTTTCCTAAATATCTCTTCAGAACAGAACATGTAATATTGATGGCCTGTGTTATGGAGAGGGGGATCACAGCCCGAGCAGCCCATGTTTGACGTGCAGACCGCGTCTTTCCACGTACAGCTGGTCCGTTGCTGAGAGTATGTTCAGTCTTATTTCAAATTAATGTTTTGAGCACTGGTCATAAAATCTATATTGTAGTTTTAGAGCAATGATGTATTTTCAGGGGTTGTTTTTCCTAAAGCTGGAGAACTTTCATATTCTACTATTAAAAAAAGGCTTCCTTGTTGAGTCTTGTTATGTCATATTTTTCCATAGACGTATATGCTTGCATGGTAATTGGTCCTGTTTGATTTTTTAAGCTGTTCAAACAGTTTTACACTTTAATATGTTATTTTCACTCTTCTGCAACAGTTATACATCACAAACTTAAAAGCTCAATAAATGATAAAACTATAGTTAGTTTATAATATATATGTATTTTCCAATGTAAATAAAGTTGACTGATGTTCTCTGGTTAAAGTCATGCCATAGTCCTTGTTCTGATGATCTGTGTTTGATCGTAGAAAACGAGCCACCTGTGTTTCACACTGATCAGTCCAGTCTGAAGACATTCTATGGAGAGGATTTCATCTATCAGTTCTCAGCCACTGATCCGGAGGGCTCTGCGGTTCTCTTCACACTCAAGTCAGGACCCAGAAATGTTGTTCTCTCTCCAGCTGGCCTGCTCATCTGGAAAGCTCTGTCCACCAAACCGGTGACCTTTGAACTGGCTGTAACTGATGACTGTAATGCAGAGACACGTGCAGCGGTGAAGGTGAGATCTAGAGGCCATCTGGTGAAATGTTGCTTCTACACAAATATGCACCTGAAGGCCTAAAATTCATTCTGAATACTATAGATTGCTGGAAATACAGTTTTGTGTCTCCGTTGTTGTCCACGAGGGGGTGCCAAATGGCTTCCAAAAACTTTTCTGAATCCTTAGATCAGTAGAACAGTTTCATAATATGTGACCCTGGACCACAAAACCAGTCTCAAGTCGCTTGGGTATATTTGTAGCAATAGCCAAAAAAAAATTGTATGGGTCAAAATTATCGATTTGTCTTTTATGCCAAAAATCATTAGGATATTAAGTAAAGATCATGCTCTATGAAGATATTTTGTAAATTTCCTACCGTAAACATATCAAAACTTAATTTTTGATTAGTAATATGCATTGCTAAGAACTTCATTTGGACAACTTTAAAGGCGATTTTCTCAGTATTTTGATTTTTTTGCACCCTCAGATTCCAGATTTTCAAATAGTTGTATCTCGGCCAAATATTGTGCTATCCTAACAAACCATACATCAATGGAAAGCTTATTTATTCAGCTTTCATATGATGTATAAATCTCAATTTCTCAAAAAATTGACCCTTATGACTGGGTTTGTGGTCCAGGGTCACATATGTATATTGCCAATAAATAATTGGAATAATTATATATTTAATAGGTACATATGTAAGCCACTTGGCATATATCACATTTTTTTAAAAGAAAGGATGCATTAAATCGATCAAAACTGACAGTAAAGACATTTAAATGTTTTCTGTTGCAAATAAATGGTGTTCTTTTGAACTTTCTATTTTCTAATATTTCTCAAAAATATTAAGCAGCACAACTGTTTTTAAATTCAGCACTACTTTTTTTTTCATAACTACAATACATAAATAAATAAATAAATAAATACAGCCTCTGTGAGTATAGACTTTAAAAAAAAAATCTAAAACATTAAAAAATTGTATCAACCCCAAACTTTTGAATGATAGTATATGTATATATATTTGGTACAGTATGTATATGGTTTCATATTATGTTTCCCAGGTGTCAGTTCACCCATGTGACTGTGAGAATGGAGCTTCCTGTGTGACCAACATTAACTTCCCCCCGGGGACTGGTGAATACCTGTGTGTTTGCCCTGCTGGTCTGGAGGGGGACAGGTGTGAAGTTGATGTGGATGACTGCAGGTCAAACCCATGCTTCTCTGGAACATGTGTGGATGGACTGAACTCCTTTACCTGCCACTGTCCAGAGGGCCTTACAGGTCAATTCACTTATAGCCATATGATCACCTAAAGAAATGTTGTAAAAACAATTTACTCATTTAAAATTGGATCTATTGTAATATCAGTGTAGTTGTTACTTGTACACATCTGAGAGTCTCCTGCTGGTGTGTTTTACAGGTGTAATCTGCGATGAGGACATTGATGAATGCTTATCAGCTCCATGTTACCCAGGTGTTTCTTGCAGAAACACGATGGGCTCATTCTTATGTGGACTCTGTCCTGACCACATCACTGGAGATGGAAAGACCTGCAGCCGTACGTTTATATCTTATACTTTTACCTTTATGGTCAAATAGTCCATTGAAAAAGTTCCTTAAGAGGCAGAGAAGATTCAGAATCAGAATCAGAAAGAGCTTTATTGCCAAGTATGTTCGTACACACAAGGAATGTGTTTTTGTTTTGTTTTTGGTGACAGAAGAAGCCCCAGTACATAGAGACAACAACAATAACACACAGATAATAAAAATAAAAGTCAACTTAGATGAATAAAATACACATATGTATACATATACATAAACAAATAGACCAATTTATATGTACAGGTTTTCATGCTTTGGCAAACCATAATTATGACACAAAAAGATGCAATTATGAGATACTACGTCATAATTATGAGCTAAAAAGTAAAAATTATGAATCATACAGAGTCACAATTATGAGATAAAACAGCAAGTCAAAGTTGACATTAAAACAATTAAGACATAAAAAGCCAAGATTGACAAATAGTTGAAATTGTGACAATAGCTGAAATTGACAAAAACAGTTGTGACATAAAAATTTGAAATAGATATTAAACTCATGATATTAAGTTTAAACAACGACAAATACAGTAATAATTATGACATTAGTTAATTATGACAAAACAGCTTTGACCAAAAAGTAGAAATTATTAGATCAAAAGTCATAATTATGACATAAAAAGTCAAAATGACCTCAAAAATTGACCTTTTATGTCATAGTTATGATTTTTCATATCAATATGACTTAGAATTATTGACATTTTATCTCTTTTTACTCTTTTTTTTTTATTTTTTTATTTTTTATATATATATAGAAAAGACAGTGGTTGAAATTAATGAAGACAGTCATGGAATTACTTCAGAAAGTGAGGTTAACCTCAGCTCCTTCAAACCCAAGTTTCTTCCAGGTGGGAATAATAACGAATTACATGTTTTTTTTTTTACCTCTAAAATGCATAGTGCATAGTATGTGATGATTGTAAATATGTACATACTGTACCCTCTGAAGGGCAGAGCCCATGTGCCAGTCGGCCATGTTATCATGGAATCCAGTGCTTTGAGAGCACATACACATCTGCTGGTTACATATGTGGTCCTTGTCCTCCTGGGCTCAGCGGCAATGGACAAACATGCTTGTCAAGAACCGCAAACAGTCAGTTGCTTCTCTTTATACGAACGTTATCATTAACAGTAACATTCTTACAGAGAGAAACCAGGATACATAGTCTTCAGGCTCGACCTTCTAACCCATAGTGTCCCACAGGGCAGACACCATTCAGAAAGGGTGACAAGCTCTCTGATGTCACTTCCTCTTTGGCCACACCCTCAGCTGAACGTCCTATTGGAGCTGAACGATCTCCTCCTAGGAACAAGTGGACCTCATCTGTTGATAGGAAGACCACCACACACACCCTAGACCAGATCAACACGAATGCAAAAGCAAGTTCAAGTAGAGAGCAGCTGAATGAAGAAGAATTGAACCCTGAACACGCTGAGGATAACAGAACCTGTGCGGACTCCCCGTGTTTCTCTGGAGTGCCTTGTGAAGCGGCTTCCTCTGGCTCCATCAGATGTGGAAACTGTCCACACGGCTATAAAGGAAATGGAATTACCTGCAAACGTGAGCCATCTTATGATGCATAAAAATCGTTGTTCATTATTATAGTTGATGCTCATGAAAAAAAAATAAAAATA